ATATTTTTCATGTCTGTAATAAGGCAAGCATACACAGAGTTTCGATGTGACGCGCTCAAGTTCAGATCATACCGTGCTTATTTATGTAATCTCTTCCATGGCAACACGTTTTTTTTTCAAAGGACATGGGTTTAGGTGTCATTTTCACTAAAATGGAGAGGACTAAAGGAGAGCTGTGGATGGGATAAAAATTAGAAACCACTAGGTTGGGAGGTGAGAGAGATGATCTGCTACAGTGCTTTCTTATGTGAATATGCGTTTATAAAAACAACAGAATTTTAAAAGAAAAAATAGAACGGCAAAATCTTGGGAGCTTCCTTAGGCTTGCTGGATGGCATTTCCCTTGGCTATACGGCCAATTAGAGGCAGGGCTCTGAGTTCGGCACGGAAGCTGTGATTTAGCCAGCAGTATATAAAGGGGTTATAGCAGGTAGAGCTCATGGCCAGCCAGTGGAAGATGAAGTACAGGGCATTGTTAGCCTGGATCACTTTACTTGACAGCAGCACAATGTAACAGTTTAGAGGAAACCAGCAGACTGCAAACACGGCCACCACTGCAATTAGCATTTTCAAAGTTGTCTTCTTCCTTCTGCGATGAGCGGCCGATTGAGCCAGCGTGACATCACCGACAGCATTCCGGAACCAGACCTTCTTGGCAACCACAAGGTACGATAAGGAGATAATTGCTAAAGGCAATACATAGAGCAGGACAAAGGTGGCAAGATCCAGATACTTCCAGAAGAGATCGGAGGGATGTGGAAAGCTGGGCAGACATACCATCCGCACTCTGTTATTGCTAAAAGAGACAAGAAGAGAAATCTTTTAACATCACATTATTGTTAAAGTAATAGTTCACCCCAAAATTAAAATTTGCTGAACATTTACTCAACACTTAGGATTTCCAAAATAAGTTTGATTCTTCATCGGAAAAGAATTGGAGAAATTTAGCATTATATCACTCACCGGTGAATTCTCTGCAGCCAATGAGTGCCGTCAGAATGAGAGTTCAAACAGCTGATAAAAACATCACAATAATCCACATGACACCAGTCCGTTTTAAATCAATTCATGTCTTGTGAAGTAAAAGGCTGCATGTTTTAATTTAAATACCAGTCCATAATCCATAATAACGCTTGCTCTAGTGAAAAAGTCCATCTTTAAGGTGAGTACATTTTCAGCTAATTTTCATTTTAAAGAGGAAAAGCATGTTTTTTTTTAATTCATGTAAAATAATTTAAGAACCATGTTGAACTAAATTGCATTTAAAAGCTCAAAACTAGAAGGTACAATCAGGGGTGACAGATTAAATACAATGGGAGGCTTCACTAGACACAAAACTTATCTCTCTGAAGTTCTTATCTCTTTCTCTCTCTAGGCCTGACTGCAAAAACACTTCCAATGATTGAAAGGTATCCTGTCTTGAATGCTGATTTTTCAATATATTACAATTTAACAAGAGTTTCTTGTGCCCCTACACTGAGAACTAAATGTCCTTATTATAACGTTATAGCATTATCATTGTTTACATCCATTTAAATTGTCAAACCAATGTCTGTCATTTTTACTTGATTTTCATTTCCAACAAGAAAGAAAGAATAAAAAAGAAAAAGATCATACACAAATTCAAAGCGCAGCAGTTTCTGATAGATGGCATGAGGTAGAGAGAAGCAGGACCCCATGACCCAGACGACACCGATCCAGGCTATGCCCTGAAGCCGAGACATCCGCTGCTTCATTGGATGCATCACCACCTGATGGACAACAATAATAACCCATCATGATTTTACACTGGCACACACTGATTCACTAATTTTAAGGCGAGACACTGCAGGTGAATAGGGTAAAAAATAAAAATAAAAAATAGTTATCGCCTTACTTACCCAGCTGATTGATTACATTGATAATTGCAAACATTTTTTATTTACTTGTAATATTTACATGTTTTATAGTCATTGCACATAAATATAGAAATGTTTAGTAAATTTTAATCTAAAAGTATAGCGCCCTTGAATCCGCGCATGCGTGTTTGGACCCACACTTTGAATCAGAGAGGGACAGTTGGGTTTGTCATGGAGGTGACACATGGCTGAATTTTCTCGTGTTTAAGGTAAGTTTGCCTTTCTATTTGAGAATTCTGATTTGTAATACATTGGTCCGTGTGCATTTCTATAGTTTTGTTCTTGTTTACTTGACTCATTATACATTGACGTTCATCTTAATCACATAACCTCATTAAAGTTACCTTACATGCAGTCACAGTGAGTGATATTTCAGCGAAAATGTTTTCAATAATTTAGAGATTCACAAAACACTGTTTTTTTCGCGTAAAAACTTGAGCACAACTGGAAATTATGTCCTTTGAATTAAAATCTCACTGTAAAAAATGAATGGGTCTTGTAATTTTAATTTAAAAAATTAAGGTGATAATTAAAAATAATGTGTATATTTTCTTATTATTAAGTGTAATATTGAGAACTTTTCACTAATAGAACAAAGAGATTAGACAATGTTTTCCTCATATTTTTTAAGGAAAACTAAGCAGTATTGAGGCTTGAATTGAGGAACTGATTAAACTGAAAAAAATTAAGGAAAGAATGCTACCGCTACCTATTTATTTTAAGAGAATTAGCTCAATTTTGCAGTTTTATTTTGGCGGTGATTGTTAGTTCACAGCATGCTTTGCATATGGCTGGATATGGAGAGTAAATATTGAAATTAAGCACTTTATGTGTTTTTGAGTAAAGGGAAACATCTATTAATGTTTGATGTTCAGTTATATTTGACATTTGAAAGAGTTTCTGTTACGTTGTTTCTGTTGTTACCGTTGTGCAGAAGAGTAGAGCTTATGGTTATGGATAACTGCATGCCTCTTACTAAAATGAGACATGATGCTTTGTTCAATTAACAGTAGCTTTGCTAATGCTAGTGTAGTAAAGTTTTTCCTATTTGAGCTATTTAGCTGTGTACTGTCTTTTTACTGCATAAAATAACTCAGTCAAATACAAACAAAGCTTACTCTTCTTGATTCTCAGACTTTTGAGAATCAACTTAAAATAAATGAGCACATTCCACTAATAATATTAAAATAATTTTTGTCATAGATTAAATCATTTAGGAGATTTTACATGATTTATTCAGGTAGATTACCATTAAAAAAATCAAGCCTTAAAAACTACTCAAAAATATTATGTGTAATATTGTTACCTCTCTACTTTTACCTCTCTAAAAGTGGAGAGCTCATACTATTTTTTTACAGTGCAGTTACACATTAACTGTAGCACAATGACTTATACGTTTCATAGAAAATTACTAGTTTTTGTATTAATTGTATTGTTTAATGCATTTTGAATAAATTCCGGATGAGCGATTTACCCAATTACAATTGTCTAGTTTTAATGGCATAAAAAGTAACAAGAGTAAAACTTTAATAGCCTAACTGTATTTTAACAAAATAAAAATATAGTGCTTTCATATTTAAGTATAGCCTAAATAAATGAAGCTTGTAAACACTTACCAGTGTAAAAGGCGTGTTGAGGAGAGTTATAAGAATGTCAGCAATGGCTAAATTCATGATGAACAAACTTGTCACTGAGTGCATCCTTTTATTCTTAATAACAACGTGACAAACCACCACGTTTCCGAACAGCGAGATGATGATAATAACGGAATATGCGACGACGAGCAGCGCTCTGATGGTCGGTCTGTGGGATTCAGACTCGTAATTCGCTCCTCTGTCGTACATGGCGTCCAAAGAGAAATTAAAATACATGGAGAAATTCTGAAAGATATAAAACTGCGAAAATAAATCCAGGGAGGTGTTTCTGAATGTCATCGTAGGTTGCAGGTGCCGTGTCAAAAACACCAAAGCGCAGTTCTGATCTACTTCTGGAGAGTTTGGTGGCGTCTGAGTCAGCCTTCTGCGAGCCAAACACTGGAGCGCAGCGTCAAGTGAAGTGGATTGGACGATAGTCACAGTTATTAGTGATGCGTCTCAACCCCTGGCATGATCATAATCCCAGTCTTCGCTCTAGCCACCTCATACACACACAATATCCACACGCGCGCACCAGCACCACTTCTCAGCATTACGCGCCTTACTATTTCGTCACTGAAGGAGGTCACTTTTAAGATGTCAAAAAAGATGGAATCAAACTGTAATTAGGATATATGGTTCCAATACAAACTGCACTCATTCTAAAGGTCTTATTGTAGCCTATAACGTCAATACCACAATTTTTTTCGATTTGTCCTTCAAAATAATAATAATAATAATCAGACTCTTAAAATAGAAATAATATCAGGAACAATTTCTCCCATATTTTACAATCACTTAAATTAAGTGAAAATTAAGCTTAATTAAGATAATAAGCTTAAGCTATATTTTAAACTGTAAATGTGTCTAAATCATAACTGTACAACTGAAATTGTAGTTATGACTGATGTGTGGATATTGCCTTATACGTCAACAGAGGTGTGTGGCGCGTTGGGCATGGTTTTAGGTAAAGAAGCGAACGACTTTTATTTGGGCCTTTAGTCCTGAGAAAAAAAAGGCCCAGCAGAGGTTGTACTTCCTTCGCCAGCTGAGGAAGTTCAACCTGCCACAGGAGCTGCTGAAACAGTTC